CACTTGCCTGTTCTAGTTTTGTTGTTTGTTTTTTTTTATTTTAACGCCTCCTTTTTCAGAAAATACAGTTAGCCGGGCGTTAACTTAACACATCTTAACATTGTATTTTGTTAGAATCACATCTTCTAAGTTATTGATCACACCTTTGTTGCTTATTTAATGTGAAAACCAGCCAGTGCCTACCACAGATGTAATTGACTCAATCAACAGATAAAATGCTCTAGCAGTGGGTTGGAGAGGCTTCGAACATGATCCTTGAGCAGCCATCAGTCTCTTTACTCAATTGGCATCGGGCCAATGTGACCTCACCGGTGCAACCTGATCTATTGCCACATCCCATGAACACATGAAGTTCCACTACACCTTTTGGTACCAGTATAGCAAATGTGGCCGATAAGGTATTCAAATGAAACAATCTCTTAAATCATATGCATTATCCTTGTGCATCTGTAAAATCTGCTGTGCCAAATGGAAATTTTATATTTTGCTTGCTGCTTTGTAGAAATGTAAGGTACACGCAATGCTACAAGGATGTGAACATTCCAATGTCACTTGTAGATTACTGTATGCAGACAAAATGGCTACCAGCCCAATTTGGCAAGGTCTGTCCAGCCACAAACAATACATCAAAAGCCTGTATAGCCGTAGTGAAGCATATTAAGGATTTCATGTATTATTTCCCTGTCTTCTCACAATATGAGCTTTGTTGGAAAAAATCCCTTTAAAGATTAAAATAGGATGATCATTTAAAGATGATTTTGGGTGATATTAGCTATGAACCTCCAGGGCTAGCATGGAGCAATCATGCTAGGTGTCTTGACTATTGAATCCATTTAGTGACGTATAGGCTGTGCAGGCAATATAGTTGATCATAGTGAATCTGGATTCACTCGACTCAATTGACAAAGTTAACACACAGGATACGATTATTTATTTTTTAATGGCATGACTCATTTTCAGACAAGTCCAATGAGATATGAAAATGACAGTCACATGGCTAAAATGACGATACTTATTGTTGTGTTAAAGCTTTGTGAATTAGGCATGTTAACTCTAACCAAAACAAATCTGCTGATTGATTCACTTATCTCTGGACCTTGTGTTGTTGAGCTACAACTTCCACCACACTCTACACATATAAGACGGAAGGTTATTAGAGCCTGTTACATTATTAGCATGTTACCCACGGGGTGGTAAAGGATTTTATGCAAATCTTTCCCTGATAAGAAATCTGTCATTACTGAAATCTTTACTGATCATTGTCATGTTTGTTATTTGATTTATATTTGATGCATATTGGATGTTTATGATTCTTTTCTAACAAATACTGATTCAGAGTTTATCAGTCTTTTTGGAAAAAAAAAATCTTGATAAAAATAAATGAATCGTGTTGATTTTTTCTTCTCTTCACAGCAAAGCAAAACTTAAATTTTTTTTTCTTTTTTTTTTCTTCACTAAACTTTATCGCTATCACATACGGGGGCTAATAAAACCCCCCTATGTGATAGCAAAATATGTGACAGGTCCTCTTTATGGAGACATCAGGGGTCTCCAAGACCCCTAATGTCACCTAGGACCCCCCAAAAGAAGCTGATGAAGCAGAGATCTGCTCAATCAGCTTCTTTGCAGCTTCTGAAGCTGGAGAGTGTTATTACAGTCTCTTTCCCTGTTATGGAGGTTCACCCTCTCTATTTGTCCTGGTGAATGTCGTCAGTGAAGGAAAATCATCAATTTTGGGTTGTCACCAGAACAGCAATAGATGGGAAATCTTCTAATGGTGACACTTGTTCTGCTGACCACTGGGGATTGTCCCCAGTAGAGGGATTTCCTCTAACTTCCTGTTGTGGCTATCTGACACGAAGCAAAGAAAAACCTCACCAATGGGACACTGAAAGCTGACCGGGATTGTAACCATCTGTCAAAAAAAAAAAATATGGTAAACTCGCAGTTATCCAGCATCCCACGGGGATCGGTAGGTGCCGGATAACTGTGGTTTATGGTAGCTTGAGTGTTAATAACTCTCAAGCAAAAACTGGACGAGATCGGCAGCACTGAGATGCAAAAATGTAAAAAAAAAAAAGTACTGGTTTAAGATAATTGCAGTTGATAGAAAAGGAAATCTTATCCAGTTGGGGTTTAGATTTACTTTAACAAGGGATCTAGCGGTGACTGACTGACTATGGAGACAGCAAGGGTCTGCATGTCCCCAGTCCATAGAGGAGGATGCCACAGAGTTCCCTATATGCATGGTAATCAGCAGGAGAGCGCTGCTGGGTTCATTCAACACAAGGAAGATTGATGAATGATAGGCGTCAGTTCTTCTGTTGCTCCACAACCTGAACACCCCTGGTGTGGTCTCTGCTCCCACAGGAGCCAGGTGAAAAACATCTATTTTATTTTCAAACAAAGAGGTATTTCCCTGATTTTGTTCTGTACTAAGGCCAATTTTTTGTAGGGAAAGGATAAAGATTTTATTTTATTTTTGTAGATATTTCACTTCCTTTCTTGGAGTACAGGACAGGGCACAGGCCACTATGGATGGATGGGTTATATGCTGGTACTGTTAGGTGACTTGGATACTGGCAAGAGCAGTCCCGTGCCTATATATAT